ATCCCTCGGATATCTGTTGAATGTTGCAATATCTTGTGCTGTGTGGGACATAATATATATAGCCATTGTATGCATATTATATATATCGATCCACACATGTCCATTATCCAATTCCACGTTTGAAAGGAAACCTCAAACCAGAAGGCACGTGATTTCATACGTGATTGCATTATCTGTAATGAAAGTAAATGTTTAGTAAAAGTTAATTTAATAAATATGAAGGAAGAAATAAATAAAGTTACAAAGTATAGTGTGAGACATTTTTCAACAGTAATATATTTATCTATTTATATTTTACATCTTAAACGAGTTAAATATAATATATTGTACAACTAATTGTACAATACTGTAAAATATAATACTCTTTTAAAAACAAAAACATGCGTACATAATACTCTTAAAAAACAGAAACATGAAATAAAGAATTAAAAGCCGTACAAAAAAATACATTACATATAAATATTATTGTTACTTTACGCGATAGTGCATTGCCATTGTTTTACTCGCGAATTCCGACTTTTTATTCATGCGAAAGTTTTTAGAATGTATCTTTAATCTAAACGTTGCATATCGAACTATAATTTTATTCCGTAAATCATGACATTCGGATATAGTGTATGGTATTTCCTTAAATTTGTCAGTAAAAAATTCTCGCAAGTTAGTATAACTTCCAAAAACTGACTTATCGAAACCGTATGATCTAAATATTTTTTTCATATCAACGAAGAAATAAAACGTTCTTTCTTTTACAAAGAACAATGTACCTTGTTTAAAGGCTTTTAAAGACGTTAAGTGGTTGTAAGAAGTTGGTTTTGTTTGAAAGTTACCTGTACTTTCCAAACATAGTTCACATAACTGTTGACAGTTTGTAATACTTGTAATGATATATCCGGCAATATTATGTAGTATATTTAAATCGACATGACTCAATTGTATATCCTGTATTGAATTTGGAACAGGCCAATTATTTTCAACTATTTTTTCAGTGTTCTTTTTTGGCAAATTTTGAATAACGTCAAAGAAATCTGGCAAAAACTCACGACCATCTTCATCGTAATTACTGCTCGTTGTTTTAGCCATGTATTGTGATGTTGTTACTAATTTTAAATCGTTTTTAAATTGGAGAGCATTTAAAGTCAAATGTTTTATTCGAAATGTCGAAAACAAGTTTTCGATACAATCTTGGATGAATCTACCACCAAAAACAAATTTATATTCCCGTTCATTAATTAAATAAGTTGCTATTTCAATATACGATACGGTTGATATAATAATACCTTTTTGAAAAGGTTTCCAGTCATCTTTTTTACCAAACTGCAATGAAGATATTAATTCACAAAACTCGTATAGAAAATTAATCGTTTCAATATATTTTTCTTCATTATGTGTATTGATTGCATAGGCAAGGCTTCTAGAACTTACTATTTGAAACCATTTAGCAACTTGCTCGACTAAGTAAGCTGTTGTTTTTAATTCAGGCTTTTTTAATATAGGAACTAAACATTTTAGAGCAGAACTTGTGTCTAGATTGAAAACACCGTATGCATTTGGTACCCTCATTTTTAAGAAATGGTTCGAAGTTTCTAAATATTCTTTGCGTAACTTTGGTGCAAGCTTCAAGTCAAAATTACTTTGTGCATGTAGTATTTCTTCAAAATGTTTTGAACTTGCAATGTTCGTAGGCAAATGATATTTTTCAACGAATTTTGAAGGAATTGTGATAGTAACATGATTTAACATGCCTTTTTTAAAATTTTTTAAAACATGACAAACGTCATGAAAGAAAAAAAGATGTCTATTAGGATCAACCGGATGCGCGCACTTATTTTGTACTGTAGAATGTTTAGAAACGTTTATACCAAATGCTCGTCACATAGCTTGATTTGAAGAGCCCATATCGGAAACAACGCCTTGTACATACAATCCTATCGCACTTGCTTTTTCAATTATTTCGACAATTATCTGTTTATATATTGTTCCATCAGAACCTTTTCCGGTATAGAAATACGTGATGACTTGTTTCCATCGTTTAGCAATGCCAACGAGCATGAATACTAAAGTAACATAGCCTACATATGTATTAGTTGAAGGATCGTAAATTTTACTTGGAGTTATGCTGACTTCATCGAGTACGATTAAACAATATCTATCTATATCATTTTGGAATTGTGAAACTTTGATATTTAAAAACTCAAAGATTTCATCAGATTTTCCACTCTGAAACTTCCAATTTTTTTCTTAATGTTCTGATCGATGGAAGTGGAAAACCGTGCCTCAATAACTCTTGGTAGCCAGAATAACCACAAGCAAATTTTAATTGATATGCCTTCACTAACGTCTTATCGCTCCATTTCGGTATTTTCTTATATTTGCGGCATAGTAAATTAATTTGATCGCTATTTAACAAACTTTGAAGTATTTTAGGGTATAGATTATTAATACGTACTTCCTCTTCTAGTATCTTCAGTTTCTTCTTGAATAGAATTTGTGCTTGCTTATGCTTTTTCTTCATAATTCTTCTCCTTTGTTCACTTCTTTCAAACAGTTGTCCAAATCTATGAGCTTGTTGTTTGTAGTATTCAAGGGATTCCAAATTACAAAAATCTTTATTGCGACAGACATCAGAATCTTGCAAGCACACTGGAGCTGAGGCTATATGCTGAGATATTTCTGAAGCAGATTCCGATACAAAATCTTCGTCTCCTTGAACTGAATGAGATACTACAATTTCTTTAGTGGGTGCAATATCGGAGAGAAAATCTTCCTCTCTCTGAACCGGATTAGATATTTCAATTTCTGCAGCATTGGGAACATATCCTTCATCCCCCTGAGCTGTTAATTTAGAAGCTACGATTTCTGTAACTGATGTAGTATTAGGTATAAACGCTAAAATATAAATACCAATATTTAGCAAAACAAACAACGTAAACTATGCAAATATGACTTACAAATTTCTGTCGTATATAATATACTGATGTAAAAAAAATAAGCCATGAGTATTAATATTATTGAATGTGACGAATTAATTAAAAACAAATATTATTGATATATTATTTACCTGCAACATTTTTTTTATTTTGTTGAATGACAAGTTGTCCAAAAATCGTTGGAACAGCAGATGATTTTAATTTTTTCCGGCCATCAACACGTTCCTTCTCATACATGTCAACCGTGAAATGGAACTATAAAATGGAACAGTATATTAAAAATGTAATACATTACGTTGTACGTCGTCAGAATCCTCATGCTTGTGGACAATAAATCGCTAATAAATCAACTCCTCATAAATAGAAAACGTACCTCACATAAATATGACTTTTCGTTTGGAATTCTACAGTATTTGAATCCTGAAGGTCCACCAGCATTTTCTATCCATTTTTCTTTACGTTGCAAATCTCGTGGAAAACTATGCATTACTGCGCCTTTTTGGTGCGAATTGTAGCATCCAGAAGCTACACAATATGGCATTTTCTATTTTTCACATTAATCACAGGTATTTTATATACGGGGCATTCCATCACTTTCACTTTAATTATCTATTACAATTACACAATATTTACCTTCAATATAAACAGTTTTCTTCGTATGTAAATAATAATAATACAGCACGTACAGCACTTATCACGTTATTGTCGATCACGCGTCGATCATCGATGATAGCTATGCCAAGATTGCCAAGCTGTGCGGCTGCCGGTGTTGCCGGAACTACCGGAAGTTAGTGGGAAAATGGCGGAGCCAATCACAATCAAGCAACGGTATCTGCTCAACTTCCTTATAGGAACCCTAAGCGCACGCGCGTACGCGAAACGGCAGTAACACCGTATAATCGTGCCGGCGATATACTGAATTTGAATTGCTTCGTGCTCTTATCTGGAGATTTCGTATCCCTACATCGTGTTACCATTGCACCGCTGCCGGAACAGAAGGTTCTCTACGCTTGGCAGAAAGTGACGACTGACACGTTCGATCCCGACTTCGTTGATCGCAGAAGAGCTGGACTCGAGGTACGTTTCCGATTTGCACGTATAACAGTATCGTGCGATGAATGTTGTACCCAATTATAACCTCAAATGAAGTTGTGCACGTTGCTAGTAACGCTGTCTGTAAAAATTTGCGTGAAAGATGATATATAATCATATTAACACATTACATTATTGTTGTGATGGAACCAAGAATATTAGATGAGACTTTATTATATA